TGTTATTTTAATTTACGAGTATCTTTTAAAGAAGTCCTTTACAAAGATATATCGTTTTTTGTTTTTAATAAATAAGGAGTACTACTTAACGGTCTCTTTCCCCATGAAAAATCAACTTAATTCTGCAATAATTTTTAAATTTATGTGCTCTGATTTGCTCTCGCGGTCGATAAAAACGTCCACCTACAATACCTACATAAGGTTAGGCGGCCCATTTAATCAACTGAGTCGATCTCTCGATACCTATCGAACGGGTGTCGACCTCTCGACTCGGAATCTCGGAAATATATGCATATGGCGTGGCGGGAGTCAACTCTCTCGGGTTGTTGGCATATCGTGGGTGTTTAATACACTCTCACTCCGAGAATTTTCATAAAGCAAAAAAAGCCCACCAAGTTAACGTGTTCGTATATACACCCACACACACACGCCGCTGCGCGGCAGATAATACCATAGAGATAATATAAGGATAGAGTGCGCTAGAGGCTGAATACAGCGAATACAGGCATATAGCGACAAGTCGAATAATAACTTGCAAGTAATTCTAGTAAGAAAAAAAAAATAAAAATTAATACTTAATAGTAAAAGATGTTAATTTGTGTAAAACATTTACTTTAGATTTCACTTAAGATCAAATATTTCATATTGTGATGTAAAAGTAACGACTACAAGATCTCATAATTTTTGTGGCAGTCTACTATTTTATACGAGCAGTGTGAAGTAGAGGTATCAAAATCAAAAGACAAAATAAATATTGCTCATCATTATCTCATTGACAAATCAACGGAATATTTTTAACGTGATAAAAACCGATACAGTGCGAAAGAGAGAGAGAGAGAGGGAGAGAGAGAGAGTATATATGTGTTACAGATATTAAAAGATCAATCTAACAAAGTGGAAAAAAATTGTTCCCTATTACTAAGGATAGGTATATACAAATAACTATCTCTAGGAGCTTACAATAAATTAAAAACAGTTTGCAATGTAACTAGCAAAGGTTATGCTACAGTTTGTAGAGACATAAGAAAAATGTAAGTATTTGTAAAAAATACAATAATAGTAAACGCTTTTGGATACCCAATGATTAATAGAAAATTTCTGAGGCAACAACGTAAACAATCTCTCCAATGTGATATTTGAATATTTTAATTATTAGTAATTAAGTATTAGTGTGAATGAGCCTTTGAATGATGTACAATGAACTTACCCGTACACATAGCTAAGATCAATCAAACTTACTATAACAACAATACTACTGTAATTAGCGTTTATAAGTTTATTACAAAATAATATGTTTATAATTTTTCTACAAATGAGTGAGTAAAATATGTGCATGAAGTTGAAGCATAGTTGAGTTTTGTGAATAGTGAATGCAATTTATCAAACTGTCCCTTGCCAAAAAAACATAAAGCAGTAACAAGAAATTTCTTAAAAACTTACTAATTATATTAATAAAACACCACAGGTGTAATAACACAACTGTCTGACAATGTGATATTTAAATAGTAATTTTTAGCAATTATAATTCAAACTAGTGTTATTTTTATCCAAACAGTTTATCTAAGAACGAAAATTAAAGTTAAAATATACAAAAAGCATCATACAGCCTTGAATCACTATTGAATAATGTCACACATACATAGCAAAGATCCACTAAGCTGTCACTAACAAGAAGACTTTTACAATTAACTTCTTTCATAACAAAAACGTGGTGACGGTTATATCTGATAAATTGACTTGTTTGCAACGTTTATAATGGAGTTTATTGTAAATAGTGTTGAAAGACTGTTCCTTGAACAATAGCATAATACAGAACAAAATTAAGATGCAAAATGTATATCTACTGTACAAGTTTTACTGTATGTGAGTGGAAATTATATACCACTTAAAAGCTTGGTATAGCTAAAAAAAAAAAAAAACTGTGTATGTTCCACATTGCAGGTATTTTGTATGGTTGTCATATTAGCAAATATATGACAATGACAAAAAAGATCAGCATATTCATACTATCATGCTGCAAGCATGCAAGAAACAAATATTTTGCCTTCTCCTATATTATATAATGTAAACAGAAATTTGCTTATTCAAAATCATGGATATTTTGACAGGAAATAAACTTAATAGGTTAGGACAGACAAAACAGCTTCACATTCTTTGTCAGCCTTATAATACTCATAGTGAATACGAAATAAATTTAGTAAAAATAATATTTAAAATTACCTGTTCTTCTACTTCTTCAAAAATGTACCGACTTGCTTTTCTGACACTTTTACACAACTTTCCAAAATGTCATGATCACACGGTTAAAAAGACATCATCCATCTGTTGAATAACTATATCCACTATTTTAACTCTTTTTTGGTAAATTGATTCAACAAAACAGCCTTAAAGATAAAATAATTAGCAAAACATTCGGAGACGTGCAGCTACGGGTGTCTATACGAACTATACCAACAATACCAGGCATAGTTCGTAGAGTTGGTAGACTACAAATAGAGTTCCAACCCTGAGTCACCCGCAACAAGAAGCGCATGGTGGAGGAGAGGTGCCAACATTACATATCAAAATGTCCCCCTACTATTGCCGTTGCACTGCTTTACAGTGTGTATATACAGTGACTTCATTTGTAGAAGAGAAATCTCCGAGCTCCGGACCGACAAGCCGAACAAATCTATTGTACTTTGACTGACTCGGAGAGAAATAATGAGTGAATAAGATTTCGACTCCACAAATTTAATAGTTTATGCTGTGTGTATATGATTTTTCAAACCAAATCAAAACATTTTTACTGGGCAAAAACTAAAGATATAAGTACATTGGGACAAGAGTTTTTTTTCACAATAGTGACATTCATTTTGAATATTTTTTTTTTATGTACTTAACAGAAAAAAAATTGCTCAAAAAATGTTCAGGATGTATTATTTAATCTTGTAAACTTCTTAAAAACGAAAAAATTTTTTATAATCAAAATTAATTCAAAAATCTGCAATTTTTCACTGTATCTTTGTATTTATAATAAATTATTTAGTTGTTCGTGATTAGGATGACAATTTTTTTTGGCCCTTTTGTAGATTATATGTATTGTACATCCTTGGGACTAAATGATGCGTGTCCTTAATAATGAGATGTTTCACTTGAATTACTTTTTTAAAAGGCTTGTTTTATTAACAAATTTTTAACAAATTGTATTTTTCTATGAATAAGTAGTTTATATCTTTTCATTATTTTTTCAAGTTGACTGTGTTTAGCTTCTAGAGAGTTAAACTAATGTGTCAACATTACTCATACATTATTATGTAAGTGTGTAGTTCTACAACTTTTTAATAACATTTATATAATCTCATGATTTCACCACTTCAAAGAAAGAAAGATCTATTTATTTGTAGAAAATTTTTTTACTTTATTAAAGAATGTTTAATAATTAATTTTGTACTATAAGTGAGCTTGTGTTTACAAGTAAATATTTTATCACACACGTTATATTTTCTGTTTCCTCAAACGTGAAATCATTTTTTATTTCTTTATAATCTCTCGATAATGTTTTATCATTAACATTTTATTTCTTTACCAAAAAAAAAACAAAACAAAACAAAAAAACATTTAGAGCAAACAAGCGTCAAAGTATAACGAAAACAATCCTTTGGTAGTCCAGACAACACAAGAACACTCAACAAGTTACGTTCCCATAGTTCTAGCCATGATCAAATTCATCAAATCGTCCTCTCCTAGATGCAAAATAATACCCTCTGTACAAGGATCCGGCAAACTCAATCCAATCACCTCCTCTAGTGCCACCTTAGCTGGCTCCATCATTTTTCTCCTGGTCAATCCTCTTCTGTACTGCAGCGTGATCAAACAACAAAGTTTTGGAAATTCTGTGTAAAAATCACTAGCTGTAATGATCTCTTCCAGGGTTCTCCTCTTGAGCATAGAGGTGGCTATGGCTTGAGCACCATTGAACAGTACATCGCACAACGACGTTCCCCTGGCAACATTCACGTCCTTCATCTTGTCCAGCTCGAGTTCGTATCCAATCTGCAGCTGTTTGTCATTGAAAGCATGTCTGACTCTGGCCACTCCGTAGCACCTTCTGTTCTCCTCGCTGACTTCGAGGCCAAGCGCCAGGAGCTTGTGCACGTGGCCATGCAACGTGAAAAACAACGAGTTGCCTTTGTAACTGCTTGGCTGGAAGGTGTCGAGGAGATAGGTGAATGAACTCTTGCCCATTAGGTCACCAACATTAATGTCAGCACCGCACAACAACAGAGCCACTACTGCGTCAACGTTGCGCTGCTGGACAGCCACGTGTAATGCCGTGCGACCATTGTAGTCACGCTCATTTATTTCATGAGCGTCTGACTCGTCCAAGTAGTTTTCGATGTTTTTTATATAAACTTTGGCAGTGCTATCGTCTCGTGGTCTAGCAGCTAAATCGTGCAGGTATCTGCGACAAGAGTCTGTCACCTCATCCGAACGATTTTTCAGCGAACTATTCATGTTGTCGACTGACGCTGGTGGTGACTTGGCTTCCAAACTGTAAAAAAGATCATTTTTTTCTTTATTCAGTTTTCGAGTTTTAGAAACAACGTAAAATGTTGGCAACAGCAGATCTCATCATTATTAGTAAATAAAGAACATCTCAATCATTGTCAAAAACTTTGTAGACCCTTAGGAAAATATTTCACACTTTCGAAGGGAGAAACAAATTCGCAAAACGTCGTAACTTTGCCAAACAATTAAAAATCATCAACACACAAAAATACAACAAGTATCACTCATTGTTTCCACCTAACCTGTCATCGCTCCGATCCACAACCTCGACCATCGTAATCGTCACCCTCGTCTCCTCCTGGTCATCAGTTTTTCAAAGCGTCTCTCGTTTTTCGACTTTTCGACAAATCATATCTACTAATCTTGAAAAAAGAGGAATTGTCAACACTATAGGTCCTATAAGTATATTAAAATGCACTGATGCACAACAAGTGTGTGTAATGATTACTAGCAGAAGTCTTTTAATGATGAATGTGATGACGCTGGGAAAAAAAACAACACATGTGCGCGCGCATGTAACGAATTTCCAACAATCACCGCATATAGTGGCGCAGTGCCGCAACAGAGCTTGCCTTAATATGTATCATTATCTCTCTCTTTCTGCAGTAAAATTCTCTCTCTCTACAACAGTCTCCGATCGCCGGTTAAAGCGCATCAGGTAAAGCCGTGAATTGCGGGGTGTGTGAAGTGTTTTTGTGTGCAGTGTAACGACTAATCTACAAGGACCGGACTCTCATTTCCCGTAAGTACCATTTCTCTGGTTATCGCTCTACCCTGTGGTCAACCCCCGCGGACGTGCCCTCCAAAACTCGTCGCCGCGAAGCGTCGTGCCTCTATAACCTCCGAAAGGCCGCGCAGGGAAAAGCGAGCGAGAGAGAGGCGTCCATCTTCTTTTTTTTTTCCCCCTGCGATATTCACGAAACCCAGTGCACGCGTGTCCACCTCCAAACGGTAACGTCGTCTCGGCTGCAATTCCTCGCGAGCAACAGTGAGTTTTTTTATGCTATTCACTGTTAACTGTTTTCTTTTTTTTTTGCGATATGTTGCGTGTTATTGTCATGTAGTTGTCTACCGGCAGGACGCATAACCTTAGTCAAGCGCAACCCCGCTCCCTCCCCCTCCTGCCCCTATCCTCTGAGCAATTTTTCTTTTTTTACGGATGATCGTGCAATTTTCTTGCAGCCGATGCTTTTTTCGTTCTACGTTGCTTATTTTCATTACATTCTAAAACTCCACTGTGTGTTATCATACGCTTATTTTTTATCTATCCACATATACTTGGTTACTTTAGTGCAAGTACACACACATCCACTATCTTGAAAGAGAGAGAGAGAGAGAGCGAGCCTTTTCTTTTGGGGGATAAATTTTGAGGATACTGGAAAGCTAACGACCTTGATGAAAACGCTCGGAACGAAAACAAAAACACCGGAGTGATGTATTTCACTGTTAACTGTATATAATTTTGTGCATCGAAGTTAAAGTGGATACCTACTTGTCTTGTGTGTTATGTTTTTGGAAAATATACCTAGGTTTTTAAAATAAGTACCTTGGTGTGTAGAGACACTTTGAGTTTTCAAACCAAGGTGCTTCTAAATTTGACTTCTGTGGCACGTGTTGTAGCACCAGTCAAAATAAACTTCCTTTTTCTTTGAAGTGTAAATGATGAAATTGGATGATATTTAGAAATACACGTATGTTACAGACGATTTTTGTCCTGCTTTGCAAGCAACGATTGCAAGGTACTAACATCATGAATATGTGATAAAAAAACGTGAAACATTAAATATCATATATTTGTTTCAGTTAACAGCAAGCAGTACCTTTTCTTCAGTTGACGCCCTCAGAAAACAAACTTAACTCGGCAAAATGAACATGAGCTTGGAGGATATAATTAATCGGAACAAGGGCGGCAGGTCTCGCGGTGGCAGACGCGGCAGTGGCCCACCACGATCCATCGGCAGCGGTCCCAGGCGAGGTCCATCCTCGATTCGCGGTAGCAGCATGCGCAAGCCTGGCGGCGGTGTGATACGCGGTCGTGGCCGGGGTGGTATAACCCGGCGAAGCACCTCAAGCTTCGGTGGTCGTAGCAGCTCAAGCTTTGGTGGTCGCAGCAGCTCAAGCTTCGGTGGTCGCAGCAGCTCAAGCTTCGGTGGTCGCAGCACCTCCAGCTTCGGTGGTCGCAGCAGGCCCTCCGCCAGTGTGAAGCGCGAGGCCTTTTTGGGCAGTAGTAGCTCGTCGAGCTCCCTCTCGCGCAAGTACGGCGCGGACGCGACCAAGCTCATTGTCTCGAATCTAGACTTTGGCGTCACGGATTCGGACATCCTCGAGCTTTTCAGCGAATTTGGGCCCCTCAAGTCTGCGGGAGTGCATTACGACAGATCGGGCCGATCGCTCGGGTCTGCCGATCTCATCTTCGAGAGGAGAGCTGACGCCATCAAGGTGCGTACATCAGATTACACCGTAAAAATTTCCCGTAAATCTAACAAAAGTTGTTTCTTGTTTACAGGCAATGAAACAGTACAACGGCGTGCCACTGGACGGTCGTGAGATGAACATACAGCTGGCAACATCAGAGATCCCGGGAATCAGCCCACGGGGTTCTCGTATTGGTGGTAGCAGTTTCAGGTCACGCGGCAGTTCAATGAGCCGCAGTCGTCGCGGTGGTCCGCCAATTCGCAGAGGAGCTCCACGAGGTCGCGGTGGCAAGCCAGGAGCCGGACGAGGCCGGGAACCCAGGAAGCAGCCCACTGCCGAGGAATTGGACGCTGAATTGGAAGAGTACGTCAAGAGCAAGGTGCCGAACTCGGAAGGAGCTTAATTTTATGTCTGAAAAGTTTTGACTAGCACTCGGGACTTGTCAGCGCCGTCATATTAGCGTTATTATGATTATGAATAGTAATAATTTCTTTTTTCTTGTAACTTCTTGTCACATATTTTTTGCGTTTTGTAAATATTAGGAGAAACGACGGCGCTGATCTCCTGATAATTCTATGCGATAGCTAAGGGCGATTGTGAAGACGAGAGCCAATTTTTTTTAGAATTAAATAAGTATACATGTATAGCGAAAAAGTGCGATGGGGAGAGATTGATAGCGGCAACTAAAGATGAGTAAAAAATTTTTCTTTTATAATTTTATCAATAGCTCGTATTTAAATACGCGTTGAGAAAAAAAGCAATCGTCTTGTAATGTAGATTTGTTTGGTAGTTGTGCTATTATTTTATCAACATTTACTTGTGTTTATTTTAAACAAGAAAACAAAAAAAGAACGTCTTGTAGTGAGATCATCTTGACATAGTTCATTTTCTAACAAAGTTGATGATTGATGAGCTCTCCGCGATCTGATGGTTAAAATAAGAACTTTTTTAAAAGGATTAGTCTTACAAGCCACCAAATATCTATAGTATCTTTAAATTGGTTATGACTATCAGTTTAATCAAATCATATGCATCATGTTGCGAACCACTTGAAGCGTAAAATGGTTGATCTTGAAAAAACAATTTTCGTAATTTTTTAATATAAACTTACTATAACTTTTCAAATAAATTGTATTGTTATTGCATATAACGATCTGGTATGCACCATTCCTTCTATGTAATTTAATAATTAACATTCTAAAATAAAAGTATAAAGACAAGTTGTTGAATTATTGTCCTCTACTTTAATTGAATGAGTAAACGACGAACGAGTGATAATCCCATTTTAATCAGCCCTACAAGTACATCCTAACTTCTAAGCCAATTTTTTTTATTTATCAAAAATACATACTGCAATCACCAGAGTTCTAAAATAATAAACTCCTGAATGAAACAAAATATAAATTTATTCCTAAATGAAAATTTTAATTTATATAGTACTTAATTAAGCTTTCTTATTTGTTAAATAATTTTACAATTAAAAAAAAAGTACAATCGTTAACTAAAAGTTTTTAACTGGTAATTGAAAAATGAATCAAACAATAAAATCCTAGTTAATCTGTAATTTAACTAGGATTTGATTAAATTTTTATTAGAACCCTGCCAATAAAATACTTGATAGAGTATATTTTTTATTTAATTTGTTACTTTATTCCTGATGGTAGGGAGAAGATAGTTTTTCTTATTATTTACTATGAATTAAATAAAAATCGCATTGACTTGTTTCATCAAAGTAAACGTAATTTTCTTCTTCATCTCATAAATAAAAATAACATCGATAAACAATAGGTAAGAAATTATCCCTGATTAGTTGCCTTTTTTTTTTTTTTTTTTTTTTTTTTCTTATTTTAACTTCAATTAAAAATACTTTTAACAATCACGACGACTACAGAGTGAACATATTGATGGCGCGTTGTGATGACAACATTGCTCAGGTGTAGTTTGCAGATGCTTCGTTATTTTTTAATAAATAAAAAAAGAAACGACCAAGTGAATTGCAATTCTACAAAATTTAATATCTTGATTTTAACCTTTAAAAAAAGCATTAAATATTTTTTCGCTAGCGAAAAAAACGATATATCTTTGTAAAGGACTTCTTTAAAAGATACAGCTGTATCTTTTAAAGAAGTCCTTTACAAAGATATATCGTTTTTTGTTTTTAATAAATAAGGAGTACTACTTAACGGTCTCTTTCCCCATGAAAAATCAACTTAATTCTGCAATAATTTTTAAATTTATGTGCTCTGATTTGCTCTCGCGGTCGATAAAAACGTCCACCTACAATACCTACATAAGGTTAGGCGGCCCATTTAATCAACTGAGTCGATCTCTCGATACCTATCGAACGGGTGTCGACCTCTCGACTCGGAATCTCGGAAATATATGCATATGGCGTGGCGGGAGTCAACTCTCTCGGGTTGTTGGCATATCGTGGGTGTTTAATACACTCTCACTCCGAGAATTTTCATAAAGCAAAAAAAGCCCACCAAGTTAACGTGTTCGTATATACACCCACACACACACGCCGCTGCGCGGCAGATAATACCATAGAGATAATATAAGGATAGAGTGCGCTAGAGGCTGAATACAGCGAATACAGGCATATAGCGACACGATAAAAGAAAGAGATGGTTGCCGAGTGTCCTCTCTGTCTCTGTCTACCCGAGCGCTGTGATTGGCTGATGCTCAAGAGGCAATAACCTATGTCAGTAACTGCCGCTGACGGCCAGAATACCCCCTTGAGCAGCAGCCAATCACAGCGCTCAGCTAGAAAGAGATGGAGAGGACACTCTCGGCGACCATCTCTTTCTTTTACCGTATCGCTCCCCCTTACGTACATTAGTGTAATTAGCGCACTCTATCCTTATATCTCTATGGATAATACAGTCGAATCGAGTCAGCCTCGAAATACGTACTACTCCGCGCAGAGAGAGTGTGTGCTCTCCCGGGTCCCGGTCGTCGTCCACGTCCATACGGCAGCACGTTCGTCGCGAGTGTATACACCTACATGAACCAAGTGCCGGACAGCGCAGTTGGGTATACTGGCCACGGACCCTAACTTCGTGGCGTGCGTAGTTTTTTTTTGTTGTTGTATTCTCTCTTCTTACGTTTTTTTGGTGAGAAAAAACAAAAAAAATATAAATCCCGGAGTGCGTTTGATTAGTAACTACAAGCACAAAAGTTCTTCCTCGAGCCCTATACAGTATATCACTGTACACGCACACCCAACCTCGGAGAGATAGTTGAGCGTTAAACGCGAGTGCGCGCGTGATACATCCTCTTTATCCTCTTGCGGAGAGCATCTTCGAGGAATTGTTAAACGAGAGAAGAAGAAGCAAGTGTCGTCGTCGGGTTCGTTCAACAGTGCAGGGTACTTACCTAAAAGTGTGTGTGTGTGTGTGCCTACATGTTGAGTGTACGACACAAGTTGATTAATATTTTGTATGAAAAATAAGTACCTCTGTAACGCGTGTGGTTTGTAACATACAGCAGCACACAATCGGCAACGGCATTGTAGCCTGTACACGAGTGAAAGAGGTGCTTCGCCGAAGACGTCGCGTGGACAGCGGGGAAAAAAAAAACGGACGCCGAGTAGTACAGGTAAATTATGGTGTATTTTTCTTGTACCTTTTCAATTTCACGTCACCCCCGGGGCCACGCATATCGTCGAAATTATACACAAATATGTGTTACAATAACGGTAGCCAGCGTGGAAAGCGCTGATAAGGTGTGTACGGTTATACCTATACGTCTTTTTTTTTTTTTTTTTTTTTCCTCAACGCCCCCTCGTGCGCTTAACATACCACCCTCCTCTTGTATATCTCTTTGAATTTTTCATCGTACAGTTTTAATTTATTTTGTTTATTTTTTTTCTGTAAAACTTTGACTTAATGAAAAAAAAAAACAAACAAAAAAAATTAGAGAGGACATCCGCACGTACGTACGGCATTCCACACCTATACATTTACACATGCTGCTTCCGACAGACAGTGTATATGTATATACTTACGTGGGTATATACCGACATACCGTGTATAAATGCTTATAAATGCTATTCCACCTCCGCCTCCTCCTCTTCGCAGTTTATATCCGCCTTTAATGGACGTGTATGTACGCATACGTGTGTGTGTGTGTGTGTGTGTGTTGGCTTTGCTGCTGCTGATGGTCTGCCGCGCCGCCACAGCACATAAGCAGGAGGCGAGCAACGCCCGTGTTTTTTCTCCTCCTCCTTTTCTCTCTCTCTGCTGCTACTTACTGCTGATTCTCTTTCTGCAGTTGCTGTACAACTCAACTAAATGTCTTTTTAATTTTAATTTTTTTTTTCTTTCCGTAAATTTGTGTAGTAGTATCGCCAAGTTTCTGATCACTTGATTTTTTTTTTGTGCCTGGCTGTGTGTGTGTGTAAGTATACCGTGCCGGTATCTTTTTCATGCTGTCGGTGTCGAGTGTATAGTGTACTTGTACACGTCATGTGCAAGCAAAGCTGGACGACTGGGTTATATATTTTTAAAGGGATTATCAGAGTGAGAGGTGAAAGTTCAAAGAAACGTGTTGTACCTTGTGGTTTATCTAAGTACACTTGGTGTGAGCAAAGTGTTGTACTTTCTTACTTACATAGATGAAGAGAATATCTTCACCGTAAAAATATTGTACCTGACCCCAAATGTAAATGCGGCTATGAACAAGAGGATCTAAATCATGTAATTTGGGCCTGCCATTTATATAACGAAAACAGAAACATCCTTATAAAAGATCTTATCAAAAATAATGTACTACCGCCTTATAACATAGAAAGTCTCATCGCTAAACCGAACACTGTTGTGTACGCAGCGATTTGTAGGTTTGTCAAAAACTGTGATCTAAAAATCTAAGACACTGTCCAATCATATGTTTAAACGAATTATAACCAACTATCGACTGATTAGAATTAACATACCTAGAAACTATATTTTATCTAAAATTTAGCTAAGAGTATAATGTACCAAATATTACTCTTCACATTATACACTGTATTGTACTACATGTAACATACCCAAACCTAACGTATATACATCAATTTTCCAAATAAACGAAGTGTACATACTCCTGATGAAGTCAGTACACTTAAATATAAAAAAAAAAAATACACATGATTTTACGCTACGACTGAAAAAACTAAACCAATGCACTTGCTGATATATATTGTTACATCGAGGCTGAGCTCAACGAACCCTTTTTTTGAATTCTTTTCTCCACCTCTTCCTTTTCTGCTCGCAAGGCCGCATTTTTGTGTCAATCTAAACGGCATATACCAACACATATACCAAGCACCAAATCTAATGTTTCGTAAAACACGTATAAGGAGAGACCGATTAAGATAAAGACCCAAGAACTAGTCTAGATCTCTGTCCCTCCTTATGCGTTAACAGATTTATCTTAATTGTTCGGTGTAACTCAACAATTATTGCCTATCTTCTCCTTTTTCTGCTTTAACCATTCGTAAAGAAGGCGACGCTCGAGCCAGAGTGTTTGATCCATTGATCCATACATTGGCCAATGTTAGCTCAGCCTCGTTACCTGAATTTAAGTACTAACGAAAGCAACTGCCAAGTGTGTTAAAAGAGAGGCTATATAGCAGACAAATGTAACACATAAAATCAAGACACCCCCAAAAAATGCAAAATTTGTCGACGTTATATTCACACTGAAGAACAATGTAGATTTAGGCTATAAAATTTTTAAATATGCAAAAAAGGTAGGCAATACGGCAAGAGATTTTTTTAAAACCAATTACTAAAACACTTACATTGTATGCAAATTATGTAGTGCCCTAAATCATTTTGCTAAAAATTGCACCAATATAGCTAGAACGCTATTCGCTGCATTGTCAACTATGCAATAAAAATGGTCATACTTCCGCTACCTGTAAGGTATGCGTGTATTGCAAAAGCACAGGCCACACGATACAAGAATGTAGAAGAAAGCAATATAATGAGCGTAAAAGACAAGAGAACTAGGGAAACGATTCGGCCTTTCCGGTTATGAACGCAACTTTGGAGACGCTGAACAACTCGACGCGCTCAGTAGATCTAAACCACTTTCTCGACGAATTCATATCCTTGGTATAATATATTAATACATACCTTGCGTTAATTTCCACTAAGGTGGAAGTCCGATGAACCTGATGATAGATTCTGGATCTCATGAAAACCCAATCAAAGTTCGAAGCTACCCTAATGGGATTGACATAGAGTATAATGACGTAGTAGAATTTCATGGAATAATAAATGAAACTATTTTATTTTTATAATAAAATTTCATAATAAAATTATTTAAGGAGGAGATATATATTATTATATAGTTGAACAATCATTTGCAATACCGCATAATCGAATTTTGGGAATGAGATTTTTACAAGATATAAAGTTTGAAATGAACTTTGAGCACAAACGCTTGNATTACTATTATTATTATTATTATTATTATTATTATTATTATTATTATTATTATTATTATTATTATTTTACAACCGCAGCAGCATCCACGATACCGCATACTATATAAAGTATAATAAGACAGTAAGGGTGTACTAACGAGCATAGAGGTGTAATAGACAACTGACTCTTGGATGACGTGCAAGCAAGTGCACATGAAAGGGAATCGTAGCTGTGGTTGATTAGTTGATATACTATCGTTCAACTTTTGAGTTGACGTAAGAAAATATATTTTTATTGTATGAGATCTATTGTAAAGTTTTTTTTTGTATGTATATCTGGTTCAAAATATAAATATTTAATGTTTAATTTTAGTTACAAAGTTCTTGATAAAACGCATTGCTCATTACTACAACTATCCGAGTGTCTGATTCATTTGGATTTATTGGTAACAGTTTAGTCACATATTTTGTTTTTCTTCAAGTCTGTAAGAACAACATAATGGCTCACTTGTTTTTTAGAAATTCGTATTTAAGTAATAGGAAAACTTTTTTTTCTGTAGAAAGAAAAAAAAATGGTTACCTAAGGTACGAAAACCTTGACTTTGACAAAGTTCATTAAAAATAAAAATAAAAAAGTCTTTCCAATCCAAGTACCATTCAGATCGCTACATCCCAAGCACTGCACTTTGCATCAATACACAAGTGCAACGTCTACTCTCCAAGAAGAGATCGATGCTACTTTTCTCCCCCATAAAAAAAAACAACTTTCTCCTTTTGCTCTGCTATACCGTCTTTTCTTATCAGCCCAACAAGCCGCCATCATATATACCCACCGCGTTTGTTTTGCGCCTCTTGAGAAGTGAAACAAAAAACTCTTCTTATCCAGCTCAGCTGCTGCGCTGTCTGTCCAGGCTCTCGTCACTCGCAGCAGACGCTGGGTATGGATTTCTTTTTCCTCACCGCTCGATTCTTATCGAGGCTAATTTTTAGTCAGGGAAATCAAAATTATTTTTGTTCTATTGAGTTTCTTTTTTTTTTTTTAATGGTGAGGGTCCAGTGTACGTGATTTTCGATTGAAATATCATCTTAAACAGTGGGGCTATGTTTTTTTTCAAGCGTACTATTTTTAATTCGAATTTAATTTCCAAGACTTATTTTATACATTTTTTTTACAGATAGTGAATATTTTAACATTAAAATTAATTTAGATCTAAAATCTTGGTTACAATTTTTTATAAAAAAAATAATGTAAATACCAGTGCTCAATTTAATGCATTTGATAAAAAAAAAAGTTTCGTCAGGCATTAAATTTTTTTTGAGGTAACGCAGTGATGTAGTGATAAGAAGCCCAAGTAAACGTTGAAAAATCGCGAAAACTTCAGAAAGCTACATATTAACAAAGGAAAACGACGTCTCTTGAAAGAGAGAGAGAGAGAGAGCGAGCCCACGGGCATAAAGCAAACGCTCCACNCTTGACGTTGGCATTTCTATTCCATGATTTTTTTAATTTATCATTGGAACGAATGTTTATAAAATTTGAAAATATTTGTAGAGTGGTGATCATATTATTATTTTTTTTTCAATTTAATGGCTGCAAAAATGTTACATGTGCCTTTATTGTTACCTACAAGTTATATTATTTCATGTGTTTATGCAAAAGAACACATATAATTTATCTTCATCTAAAAGAAGTCAATGTAGATAAATCATATTATCTGAGCAATTTTTTTTACCTAGTAAAATATGTGTAATCATAGTAGTTTTCACTGTGCATAACACCCCGGTCTCTCAACCTACTCTTTACAATGAAATTTCAGTTTTCATCTCAATTTATCTAAAAATAACTTAAATGATTGTTAATAAAAGATCTCGTAAAATTATTTCACTATTTTGATTAATGTATTTTTTTTTATCAAAAAAATTGTTTGTCTTAGGAAAAGTAAAAAAATCTCACCGTCGAAACTCTATTAACCTCCAACGAACCTTGTTCCGGCCGGCCCACAGTCGCAGACGAAAAACTTTGACGCCTTATCTCCCCTTCGTTGATTTCTGTCGGTTAATTCACTTCAACTACCAAGAGGCGTTTTGGCTGTACTAAAGTTGGCGCAAGTACACCGTGAAAATAGATTTTTTTCTCTTCTTATTCAATTTCTTTTTTTCTTTGG